GTATGGTTACTGCTATGTTACAGTATCTGACACAAGGTTACTGCTATGTTACAGTATCTGACGTAAGGTTACTGCTATGTTACAGTATCTGACGTAAGGTTACTGCTATGTTACAGTATCTGACATAAGGTTACTGCTATGTTACAGTATCTGACGTATAGTTACTGCTATGTTACAGTATCTGACATATGGTTACTGCTATGTTACAGTATCTGACGTATGGTTACTGCTATGTTACAGTATCTGACATAAGGTTACTGCTATGTTACAGTATCTGACACAAGGTTACTGCTATGTTACAGTATCTGACGTATAAGGTTACTGCTATGTTACAGTATCTGACACAAGGTTACTGCTATGTTACAGTATCTGACGTATGGTTACTGCTATGTTACAGTATCTGACATAAGGTTACTGCTATGTTACAGTATCTGACGTATGGTTACTGCTATGTTACAGTATCTGACACAAGGTTACTGCTATGTTACAGTATCTGACGTAAGGTTACTGCTATGTTACAGTATCTGACACAAGGTTACTGCTATGTTACAGTATCTGACGTATGGTTACTGCTATGTTACAGTATCTGACACAAGGTTACTGCTATGTTACAGTATCTGACGTATGGTTACTGCTATGTTACAGTATCTGACACAAGGTTACTGCTATGTTACAGTATCTGACGTAAGGTTACTGCTATGTTACAGTATCTGACGTAAGGTTACTGCTATGTTACAGTATCTGACATAAGGTTACTGCTATGTTACAGTATCTGACGTATAGTTACTGCTATGTTACAGTATCTGACATATGGTTACTGCTATGTTACAGTATCTGACGTATGGTTACTGCTATGTTACAGTATCTGACATAAGGTTACTGCTATGTTACAGTATCTGACGTATGGTTACTGCTATGTTACAGTATCTGACGTATGGTTACTGCTATGTTACAGTATCTGACACAAGGTTACTGCTATGTTACAGTATCTGACGTAAGGTTACTGCTATGTTACAGTATCTGACACAAGGTTACTGCTATGTTACAGTATCTGACGTATGGTTACTGCTATGTTACAGTATCTGACACAAGGTTACTGCTATGTTACAGTATCTGACGTATGGTTACTGCTATGTTACAGTATCTGACACAAGGTTACTGCTATGTTACAGTATCTGACGTATGGTTACTGCTATGTTACAGTATCTGACATAAGGTTACTGCTATGTTACAGTATCTGACGTAAGGTTACTGCTATGTTACAGTATCTGACGTAAGGTTACTGCTATGTTACAGTATCTGACGTAAGGTTACTGCTATGTTACAGTATCTGACATAAGGTTACTGCTATGTTACAGTATCTGACGTATGGTTACTGCTATGTTACAGTATCTGACGTATGGTTACTGCTATGTTACAGTATCTGACGTAAGGTCACTGCTATGTTACAGTATCTGACATAAGGTTACTGCTATGTTACAGTATCTGACGTAAGGTTACTGCTATGTTACAGTATCTGACGTGTGGTCACTGCTATGTTACAGTATCTGACATAAGGTTACTGCTATGTTACAGTATCTGACGTAAGGTTACTGCTATGTTACAGTATCTGGCATATGGTTACTGCTATGTTACAGTATCTGACGTAAGGTTACTGCTATGTTACAGTATCTGACATATGGTTACTGCTATGTGAGTAACTACAAGGTAAACTCTATACAATAAAACGTCATTTAGGCTGTTGTTTAATGCATTAAGTTAGGGGAAGGGCAGAGAGAAAAGGATGAAAAGAAAGAGAAAGTCATGAGAACTTTGAGAAGAGAGCATAGTTTACTGATATAAAGGAGAGATATTAAAACTACCAGCCTAATATAGTGCAGGCTCCCTCGTGCTGCCAAACCAGCTCTGATCTATCGAGGCATTGACTCCACAGGACCTCTGACTGTGTCCTGGGTATCTCGCACCAAGTCCTGGTGGGCAATGCACATATAGCACAAATCTTTTTGTGCATACATCCTTGTGAGTGTACTTTTGTTTGTTTTAAATGGTTAATGTTAGATTAAATATTGCATTCTAATATTCCTTTCTTTTTAGGTTTTTCTCGTTATGTGACATGTTATATATGCTAGTCCTGAGCGTTTTCTGACCCGTTTTTAAGGTAATATGGATATTTTACATTGTATTCTGCACAGAATTGTGAAATTGCACAGTGCACTTTTTTTGTACCAAATACAATATCTTGGTTTATTTTGTAACTATTGGAGGTGGTTCTGTCGTTAAGGCTGCACTTTTACACTATTGATATTTTGCAGATTATAACACTGCCTACAGCGGTCTGTCTTCTACCCATAGTGCATTCTGCTGCCAACTCTTCCCCAGGTAAACGACACACACCCTCCACCCCCCATCTTCATCAGACCAGGCAACCCCCTTCCATTGCTCCATGGTCCAGTTCTGATGGTCACATTCCCATCACATTGAAGGCAATTGTGGCAGTGGACAGGGGTCATTATGAGAACTGACAGGTCTGCAGCTACATAGCTCCATACACAGCAAACTGCGATACACTGTGTTCTGACATCTTTCTATCACTCTAATCTAATCAAGTTTTTCAGCAATTTGAGCCACAGTAGCTCTTCTGCGTAATGTAATCAGACAGGCCAGTCTTCTCTCCCCACATGAATCAGGGATAACACGGGCTAGCCTTCGCTCCCCACTTATATCAAGGATTAGACAGGCCAGCCTTCGCTCCCCACATGTATCGAGGATTAGATGGACCAGCCTTCGCTCCCCACATGAATCAAAGATTAGACGGGCCAGCCTTCGCTCCCCACAGGAATCAAAGATTAGACGGGCCAGCCTTCGCTCCCCACATGAATCAAAGATTAGACGGGCCAGCCTTCGCTCCCCACATGAATCAAAGATTAGACGGGCCAGCCTTCGCTCCCCACATATATCAAGGATTAGATGGGCTAGCCTTCGCTCCCCACTTATATCAAGGATAAGACAGGCCAGCCTTCGCTCCCCACATATATCAAAGATTAGACAGGCTAGCCTTCGCTCCCCACATGAATCAGGGATAACACGGGCTAGCCTTCTCTCCCCACATATATCAAGGATTAGACGGGCCAGCCTTCGCTCCCCACATATATCAAGGATTAGACGGGCCAGCCTTCACTCCCCACATATATCAAGGATTAGACGGGCCAGCCTTCGCTCCCCACATATATCAAGGATTAGACGGGCCAGCCTTCGCTCCCCACATATATCAAGGATTAGACGGGCTAGCCTTCTCTCCACACATATATCAAGGATTAGACGGGCCAGCCTTCGCTCCCGACATATATCAAAGGATTAGACGGGCCAGCCTTCGCTCCCCACATATATCAAGGATTAGACGGGCCAGCCTTCGCTCCCCACATATATCAAGGATTAGACGGGCCAGCCTTCGCTCCCCACATGAATCAGTGATAACACGGGCTAGCCTTCGCTCCCCACATATATCAAGGTTTAGACGGGCTAGCTTTCGCTCCCCACATATATCAAGGATTAGACGGGCCAGCCTTCGCTCCCCACATGAATCAGTGAGCCTTGGGCACCCATGACACAGACGCCAGTTATCTTTCCTTGCACCACTTTTGGTGGTTACATACCACTGCACACCTGGAACGCCCCACAAGACTTGCCATTTTGGAGATGCTCTGACCCAGTCGTCTGGCCATCATTATTTGGCCCTCGTCAAAGTCACATCTCTTTGCTGGCCCATTTTTCATGATTTGAATATATGAAATTCACACCCCTTGACAGATGCTATTGTAACAATATAATCAATGTTATTCACTTCACCTGTCAGTGGTTTTAATGTTGTGGTTGATCAGTGCATGTCAATGCATAGAATCCCGACTATTCACACACATCTGAAACTTTTTACTCTATTTAAAAACTTCTTTCCATGTTTGTGCTTAGAAGAAATAAGTTTGTTCAGCTTCAATCCTGATGAAATAAATAAAATGCACACAGGGGGCGTGGCCTGGACATTGATGGCGCCAGTCGCACACTAGCCGAGCTCCTAGGCCTAAACCGCCATAATTAGCGTTATACCCCTCAACTTCGGCGATGGTGCGAACCAAGAAACATACCGGCACTGGGAGCATGCCCCCGGAGTCCCTGAGACGCGGTACGGGCACCCTGGATGATTTTCTAAGCACCCCGGCGGGGCTCCGGGGCACTGCGCCTTCCGACAATATGGCGGCCGTTTCCCCTAGTACAACCAGCGGGGGGGGACTCCATGCCCGACTTCAGCCCTTCTGTCCATCAGGGCTGAGCTCTCCAGGATTGGGAGCAGCATGCTCACCAAAGCAGACACGGGGGCCCTGGTCCGGGAGATAAGGGAGGCGGTCCGGGAGGACCTGCAGGGCCTCCGCACAGACCTCACGACCCTCACGGAACGAGGGGATGCAGTAGAGGCGGAAGCACGGATCTGCTGCCAGCAGCACCGAGCAGCAGAGACAGCGGCCACCAGACAGGGTAACATGCTTCTGAACCTAAGACGCCAGGTGGAGGACCTGGAGAACCGCAGCCGGAGGCACAATATCCAGATCAGGGGCCTGCCGGAGCCTGACACAGAACCACTGGCGATCACCCTACAGCAGCTCTTCTGCCAGCTCTTGGGCCCTGACGCACTGCCCAACATCCGCATAGACCGGGCCCACCGCGCCTTGGGACAAGCTAGGCCGGACGGCAGGCCCAGGGATGTGGTGTGCTGTCTCCACTCCTTCCTGCAGAAGGAGCAGATCATGGCGGCGGCCAGGAACCTACCGACAGTCACTTTCAGGGGAGCTGACCTGGCGCTCTTCCAGGATCTTTCCGGCCTCACACTGGACGCCAGGAGGGCGCTGCGGCCCATCACAGCAGCCCTCCGTGACAAGGGGATCCCCTACAAGTGGGGGTTTCCCTTTAGCCTACAAGCACGACAGGGATCCTCCTGGCACTCACTCAGGATGCCAGATGATGCCCCGAGATTCGCTCGGGCACTTCACCTTCCCCCTATCCGGATCCGTAACTGGCTGCTAGACGAACCGGTGGGCCCCCGAAGAGGAGAAGAAACAGGCCTGCAGCCCTCTGCAACCCATTTGGGCCGGATGTCACCGCCGCGCCGCTGGGGAGGACCAGCGGGGGCAGAGGAGTGATTTGGAACTTTGATCCTGCATCGGGGCGGATGCCCCGTGGCCCCTCTGCATGAACTATAGCGATTGGTGGGCCTTTCCCCTCTCCCCCCTTCCCCCCCTCCCCCTTGCCCCCCCCGGGGGCATTGGTCTGGAGGAACCATTGGACTGAGATGATGAGGATTTGGGGGAGATGGACCGTGGGACTTGCACCTGGTGTGGGTGGGGGTTTGGGGGGGGGCGGCTTGCCACATGAGGCACTTTGTCCTGGCCCAGAGTGGAGGACGGAACCCTAAAGTACGTGCCCGGCGCCGCGGGGGGGGAGGCTTGCGGGTCTCGGGGGTGGTGGGGGGGGGGGCTTTGGCCCGCAGGGTATGCCCGGAGGGGAAACATAATAGTTGGGGGAGGCACGGGGTGTGCTTACGATGCAGAAACCGGATCCCGCCTGGGTCCTAGGCCTATCCACAATGCTCTCACACAATTAGGCATATTGCCCGCACCCTCATAGTATTCGGCTGCGGGGACTACACTACCTGGTAGGGCGGTGACGGCCATGGACGGCTGAGGACACCACAGTACCACACACGACAAGGTAACGAACCCTTGACTACAGACACGCCCCACGGGCAGACGCACACCTGTACAGGCACCCAAGGTGCGACCTAGGGACGACTGACGACAGTTGGACTGACTCCCCAGGTACACACCAAGTGCGTTGAGCCAATACCGGCACCTCACAACTAGGACGAGGTGCGGGGACGGGGGTGGGTGAGATCGGGGACCTTGGGCAGACTCCTGGTCGCGGGACCTGACCAGCACCGGGACCTGACTCCTGACTGGCCCTCGCTCTCAGTCCCCACCTCCTCTCTCTCTCCTTCTCTTACTCTCTTTTTCCCTCTCTCCCCTCTTCCCTCTCGCGCTCTCCCTCTCTCTCCTTTACAGCTACCAGTTTACTCTCCCCCCCTTCACGCCCCATATTCGAGGATGATGTCAGGTCACTTTAAGCAGGCGGATCTCTGCCTGTGGTCGAACAACGTTCGGGGCCTTAACGCTCCGGAACGGCGCTCACACCTTCTCCGCACCCTGTGGGCGGTACGCGCGTCGCTTGCATTCGTCCAGGAAACTCACTTCCAGGGGCGAAATGCACGGCGCTGCGGGACACCCGCTTCCCGACCGGATACTTTGCCAACCACCCACATGCCAAAAAGTCGGGGTTGGCAATTCTCATAGCCCGCACGGTGCCCTTTCAAAGCCAAGCTGAATTGGCGGACCCAGAGGGCCGCTCCATATTCGTGAAAAGCACGATTGCTGGACATCCCTATACCTTGGCGTGTGTCTATGCACCCAATACAGCACAACATAACTTCCTGACACGCACCTTGCACGCCCTGGAACGCTTCAGAGAAGGCATGCTGATCCTGGTGGGGGATCTCAACCTAGCCCTGGACCCACGTCTGGACACCTCCCTAGGAACTAGCTCCCTACCGGCTTCCTACCAACGCAAGGCCCTTATGGCCCTCAAGAACTCGGGGTTGGCAGACTCGTGGCGAGTGGCCCACCCACTAGGGAGGGACTACTCCTACTACTCTGCGGTCCACAGCCGCTACAGTCGGTTGGACTATATCTTCCTCCCCATTGAATACCTCTTGCTCTTGCAATCCAGTGGGATCCACGCGGCAACTTGGTCGGACCACGCTCCGGTCTGGACTAAGATTGCCTCCCCGCTGTACAGACCACGGGAGAGGCAGTGGCGGCTCAATGAGCAGGTCTTGGAGGAGCTGGAGGCGACAGTGGAGATGGGTGACGCACTGCAGAAGTACTTTGAGGAGAACACCACCCCAGACGTGGAACCATCGATGATATGGGAGGCACACAAATGTATGTCCGCGGCCATCTCATACGTTATTGTACTCAACGGAAGAAAGCCCAAAGGCAAGCAGTCACGGACCTGGCACAACAAGTGGCAACCCTTGAAACCCTACATAAGTTTAGCAGAACAAGACACACAGAGAAGATAGAAATTAAGAAAAATCGTCTCCACTCCGTGCAGTTTAAGTGCAGCGCTAATTTAAAATAAAGTCAACTCACCCTGTTGATATTGATCGGGTGGTTCAACTTAGTTGGACATATATGAAAAAACACAAGTAGAGAATATATAGTGCAGGGTTGTTTTAAACCACAAACTGGAGTTATCTACTTAATGGCACACTCACATGGTAACGAGCCTTTTTAGAAACAGGCTCTAAACTTTCCGGCTGGTATGTTATAGGGTAACATACACCCCCTTTTTCTGGATCTCTTCCCCGGTCACAATTCCAATATGTATGATGGAGAAAGGAAAGAAAAGGATCTCTAAGTGAGATCTGCAGGTTTAAAAACACAGTTCTAGATAATATAAAATTGCTCACCTGACTCAGAGCCTTCCAAACTGGCTCTGAGTTTCAAAAGTTTGTGTCAAATAAAGGGTTGTGACAACCCTTTATTTGACACAAACTTTTGAAACTCA